TAAGAGACAGGTTTAAAATTAAAGAACTAAAATTTATATAAAAAATTATTGATAAATGTACCTGAAGTGACAGCCATATATACATTACTAATAGTTATTTTACATATTGTTATCTAATCATTAATTCGCTCTGTTAGTGATGGAAGCGACGTGCAGACGGAATGAAGCCAGAGAAGGAATAAAGGAAATAAAGTAAAGATCTAAAGATCTAATAAGTTGGGGAAATGAATGTTTCTTCAGAAACTTTAGAAAAGGGATAGAAGGATAAAAATAGGAAGATAATTTTCTGATAAACATTCTATATACGTATTATATTATATACATATACTATATACATAGGGTATCTTTGTTTATATTTAACTTTGTTTATATTTAATTCATGAGATGCTGCTTTTTTCACATAAATCATTTCGGGAACTTTTTGTTGTTAAACATTTGTTCTTTAAAATAAGCATTTTATACCAATCAAAGCATAAAATTTCATTAAAATAATATATAATATATAATATATAATATATAATATATACATATATATTATTTGTATATTTATATATATATGTATATACACACTCCGCGCCAAAATTAAAGGATTACCTATTCTGATCACTAAAAATAGGCAAATTTCAAGAGAGTATAACTTCATCAAAAATGATCGTAACATAATGATCAAAAAAACATTTTAAAGCAGCTTAAAGTCTCTACTTTCTCTCTAATATATTAACTTTATTTATATTAACCTTTATTTTATATTTTCTGCCACACGCACGCTTAGGCTGTACTCCGTTATTTACTGCGAGTGCAGAAAATCTTACAGTTAACGTTTCGTACACTATAGATTTTCATTACTCAGTAAATAGCGAAATGCAATCCCTATTCATTCACGAGCTGTTTCATCACGAGCTATTATCATCAGCTGTCAAACTGTTAATGTCAAACTTGCCGCGAAACGCTTGATAACATTGGATGCAACATTCTTTGCAAAAATTGAAGTTTAATAATGAAATTCAAATTGTTAATTTTTATTTTCAAAAAAAATTTATTGGTCAAAATTAAAGAAAAAAATAGGCAAAACAAATTTATATAATTAAAATTCATAAAAAACCGAAACATTTTAAAAGAAATTTAGGAAATTAAATACGACACATTAATCAATAAAACATATATATTTTTCTTTCTATTTCTTTTTTTTTGTCACTTTATAAAGATTGAAAAAGAACTGAAAAAAAATTTCTTGAAGTAATATAAATTGAGTTTGCTTTTTTAATTATATAATACAATTTTTCTGTTACCTGTACTTGTTGAAATTTTTTAATAAACATATAAATTTTATGGAAATAATTTTGAAAAGGGAATTTTTGAGAGCAATCTGTTACAAAGGGCAGTTATCAATGGATCCCATGTCTCGTCTGCTATTGGCAACATCGCTCGATATAGCGGCGGCCAAAATTCATTTGCAAAAGTTACGATAAGATTATCTAAAAATAAAAATTGATACATAACAGTATAATTTAAAAGAACTAATATAAGTAATATAAGTTTATAATAGAAATTGTAATTATAATTTATATATTTTCGTAAATAATTACGCAAATAATTGCTTTTTGTAACCTTTTGTTTAAAAAAATAATAAGCAGAATAAATAAAAACATTAAAATAAAATATAATAAAATATTTTAATTTGTAAAGTAATATTTAACACTTCTAGCTCCCTACTTTTAGCTTCCTGCTCTTTTTTTAAGTTGATAAATTGACTTGATGTTATTATAT